CTTCTGCCACCAGGTGGGCATCCGTCCCAGCACCTAGGGAGGGCTTCGTTGAACCCACACTGCTACTCCTAATATGTCGCATTTGAACTGATACTATCTGTGTGCATAAGAGTAAGGTCTGGTTCTGCTCCTGGAGCTAAGGAGGGCAGTTGCTGCTGTTCTCTGTGGAGACTATAATTCTGACATCTAGTGCAGCTTCCAGCCCAGAGCACAAACGCCCCGAGGAGGACCAAATGCACGAAGGCTTAGGCAGGTCCACATGGGCGCACTAGGCTTGGCTGGGTACAGACAGTCCAGCCAAGATGCAGGGCGCTGAGCTGCCACTCTGCCCCCACAACAACATGAGGCCCAGGGCCGGGGCCTCTCCCCCCGTGTGCCGGTAGTCACTCTTCACAGAGGAACTTTTGAAGTTATTCTAACAATTTTGGGGTGGGGGATGGGGGGCCAGCTCTGCCCACCCTGGGGGCAGGGCTGGCACAGCATGTGGTCCTGGGGATCAAACCACCGCTCTCCAGGTGTGCTTGCCTAAGCAAGCACTTTAGACTGCAGAGCTATCTCGCTGGCCCCAGCTTAGTTCTTTATGAGAAATACCGGGCCAGGGAGATAGCTCACCTGTCACCACCACTTCCAAGAAGAAGAAAGCAAAGCAAAGCAACAGCTGCTAGCACTGGCGCTGAGTAAGAGGAGCGCGTGAGCTCTTACACTTGCCCCATCCTGGGGGCAATGCTATAGATGCACTCTTGAACTCGACGGTGGGACTTGGGCTATGGCTGGGGCTCATGCTGGGGTCCATGTCTGTCTTCTCATGGAAGCCCCTCAGCAAACCAAAATGTTTCATACAGGCGAGCAAACTTAACTTCGAGACTCAGAGAGTTAAAGGAATTTACCAGGGTCACACAGGTGTCACACAGAGACTGGATCTGAATCCCATTCACTGCAGCGCTGTTCAGCATCCTTCACTGCCAGAACACAGCCTTTGCAGAACTGAAGGAAGAGCTGTACCTAGGCAGAAGGCGCCCTATGGTCCCATTTAGTCTCATACTTGGAGCTTGAAGTAATAAGACTTTAGTCAGCTTTTTACCGGCCTGCCTTTGGCTGCTTCCCGCTTCGTGACTGTTCCTTTTAGACACATTTCTAAAATGCAGATCGATCCTCTCTGTCTCAGGCTCACGTGTGTCCACTGGCCTGGCTTCTCTCTGTTTATGGGAATCTGGTCTGCAGGTCCAGGATGTATCTCAGTGCAGGGCACTTGCCTAGCATGCGCCAGGCCCTGGGTGAGTCCCTGGAGCCACAAAATAATGTGAAAAACCCTCTGCCTAGCACACAGCCCTGGGCTCCCACTCTGCCCTCTTCCCCACCTTCCTTGGCATCCACACAGGCCTCCTGCACAGTCTCCTAGCAGCTAAGCACTGCCTCTGTCCTTTCTGGATGTGATTCTCCCTTCCTGACAGCCTGTCCAGCCAAGGAAGCCAGGTCAAGTCGAAGGGCAAATGGCATACAGAGTGACTATGTACTTCTTGGGGCAGGGGGTGTTACTCGAGATTGAACCCAGCACCTTCCAACTGAGGGCTTTTTTTTAGACAGAGTTTGGCTAAATTGTTTAAGCTGGGTTTGAACTTGGGATGCTCCTGCCTCAGACTTTCACAGTGTGGGATTACAGCTATGGACCACCACACTTAGCCAAGTAATATTATTATCTTAAAAATAATTCCATGTATTATGAAGTTGTACTATACTGAGTAAGTCTGGAGAAGAGATTAATTGGAAAGGTCCCAGCTTTTGGTAAACATGTGATTGATAAGGTTTCAGTAGTAAATTGCTCTTCAGTTTCATATTATCAGAGAATAGTCAGTACCACCCCTGGCGTCCTTTGTTCTCAGCAATTCCAAATGTACCAGAAGGCCTCTGCAGCAGTTTCCTCAATGTGTAACAAATGCTACTTTGTATATTCATCTCTTCTCTTTTAATTATAAGGATTTGAATCTGCAGCACCAATTAATCAGTAATTAGATAGTACTGTACCAGAAGAAATTAAATGGAAATAAAAACAAAAACACAGCTCAGCGCAAGGCGTTATCATCTGTATCATTTCATGTAGCATGATGAAAATACTCCCTGAGAAATGTAGGTTAACTAGGTCATTAGCCATGCATTCCTTTGATGTCATTGCTGACCTCCGGTACCACTGGGAAACTTAGTCCAGATGCAGAAACCCTCTCATTATACTAATGTTTATTTTTCTTTTTATTCCTCATTGAAAATGTGCCTCATGAAACTCAGTAGTAATTTTGAAATGCAGTAGTAGGTTTGGCAGTGCAGGATAAATGCATATTTTGTAATGATGCATTCTCTTGAACATCATAGGTTTTTTTAAGAAACACATAAACCAACTTCTGAATTACCTAAAACAAAATTTTCATCTTAGGTATGGAAAAAGAAAGCAAAAAAGAGCAAATAAAGGAGAGGGGGGAAGGTCCCTACAGAAGAAGGAAAAGCCCCTGTAGGCATCAGAGGAGGTTGGTGGGGACTGCTCCCTAGAGTCATTTCCCTGCGCCAGCTGCGTGGGCCTCCTAGGCTGGGCCACAAACCTTGTGTCCGTAAGAGAAAAAGAACATTGACAGCTGGACAAAGAAGTCACCTGGTACCACATGCCATGCCAGCTCCCACGCTGTGTGGGGGCACATGCCTGCAATCCCAGTGCTGAGGAGGCTGAGATGGGAGGATCACTACAAGTCTGAGCTGTATAGACAGACCCTGTGCCAAATAAACAAAAGATTAAAAAAAAAAAAAGGCAGCAGCTCCTGCAATTTGGTCTTGAAAGTAGCGACAACAGGCAATTCACACGGCAGGACTGGCACCAGCAGAGCCTCCAGGCCCAGGCGGTGTCTGTCTAGGGAGGAGCCCCTCCTTTCTGGACTCCTAGCTTAGCCTTCGCTCTGTGATCATGACTATGCGGGGAAACTGAGGCAGGAAAACACCCAGAATTATCCTGAGACGCTTTGTACTTGCTCCTTGGTGCTGTTTCAGAAGGTTGTATTTCTGAGGGCAGCTGGCATTGCCTCTACTTCCACATGGGGGCTTCTGTGAAGGGCGACTGTTACGAACACTTTCAGCGGCATGCTGGGTCCATGGGCAGGGCTTGCGCGCGAACCTGTGGTAAAATCTTCCACAGAGAGAATTTCATTATGCACTGGCATAATGGCTTGCTTTGTAGTCATATTTTTAATTACCAGTCTCTGAAATAAGTAATTTGTCTTTTGATGGAATAGTTTGCAAAGAAATAGCGTAAGGAGGTTTGAGAAGAATTATAGGGGAACTATCTTTTGGTACCTGGGATGGAAAGAGCAGCCATGGCTGAGTAACTCGGTACCATGAGGACTCTTGAGAGCGAAACTGCAACAACAGTTTTTGTAGCTTTCTGATGAAATTCAATAACCTCCCCAGATTGAGAACCATTTCATTTGATTTTTTCCCCCAGTTTAAGAATTTCCCTCCCCTACTGTGTTACGAAGCAGTGCTGGGAAGCTTCTGACTTTAAGAGTTCATTGCTTTTCCAGATTATGGAGTGCACCTGTGAGTGAAAGCCACATTTGTCAAAATGACAATTCATTTGTGGGTATGGGTTATTAATCCTCTGTTGTGCTTCTTCAACTATTCCCTAATTGGAAATGTTCATCTCTCAGGAGGTGGTACAATTTATTTGGTGTCAATGTGCTACATAAATTTTTGCCTCTCAAATTTAACTTTTTTTACTGAAGGAAGTTTTACCAAGCTGATTCAGTTGGCGTGATCATTCCCTTATGGACATTCTCGTTCAAGGTTACCTGACCAAAATGAAGGCACCAAGTAACCTCTCCATCGCAATGAATGACTCTCTGTGGCTTTCTCTTTAACAAGGTGGTAACTCTTCCAATGGCCAAATCTTGCTCTAGTAGGACACAGAAAAGAAAACACAAAAAGCAAAACTGGAGTTTAAACACTCATAATCACGCTTGCCCTGCAGTCTCTCCCTGGTCTCAGTAAATGGCTGTGGCTATTGCTAAAGCCCACAGTCCCGTGGGCCATTTTGGGTCTCTGCCTTTTACTCCTCTCCCCAGCCACCTCCCTCTGCCCCTGCCCTGCTCCAAGATACTGCTGCGCTCTCTTGCCTGGACTCCTAGCTGTTATCTCCTAACTGGTTGCCCTTTGCTATCCTGCTATGCCTAAGATCCATTCTCCCTATGGCAGCTCAGGTATATATATATATATATATATATATTTTTTTTTTTTTTTTTTTTTTTTTTTCGGGGGAGTGGCACCAGGGATTGAACTCAGGACCTTGCACCTGCCAGGAAACACTTTATTCCACAGAGCTATCTCGCTGGCCCAAGTACTTCAATCATGCTATGTCATGAGAGCTGCTGAAGGCCTTTTGGTTACTTTCCATTCCCCTTAGAATAACATCAAAACCCCTTCCTGGCCACAGGACTCCACACATCCAGGCCTGCACCCCTCCTCCTCGCTGCTATTCCTCTTCAGATGCCGCGCACACACTCCTGCTGCCTCTCGCTCTGTGTGGGCTGCGGCCGCCATCCAGGGTGTGCTTCCCACACCTGCGGACTCGTTCTCCTCCGTGTGTCCCCTCACATGTCACCTCAGACATCTCCTGACCCCCCTGCAGTGCTGCCCCCCCCCAGGGCCTGCGTGTCCACCTGTTCGGGCCTTTAGCTAGAACCTGGATCTGCACGTTTGCTGTGTACCCCTTGTGCCCAGGACAGCGTCTCTCCCATGAGCACACTCAGTAGTGGTGAGTGACTGAGTAAGGAGACCTTTTCCTGGCAGGTACAGCTTTGATGGGACAAATTACCCTCTTCACTTTGGGTCCTCCCCTATAAAACAAAGCCAGCAGGACAGTGGATCGTGATGAGGAAGAGCCTCAAAGCAGCACACGTGTGGCAGTGCACGGAACCTTGCATGGCCCAGAGTGAGCATGACTAACAGCACCGCTTCCTCTGTTACAGAAAATCTTCAGAGGAGCTAGACATGGACAAGGTGACCGCAGCAATGGTACTAACCAGCCTGTCAACCAGCCCGTTGGTGCGAAGCCCTCCTGTGCGGCCAAATGGTAAACACGGGGTATGGGCGTGGGCAGGGCCTGTGACACCAAGAACAGGGCCTCTCTGGACTTGAGGTGCCTTGTTCTGTCATGCTAACCATTAACCTTGAAGCCAGGGGAAGTGTGGGAAAAACAGGCACCAAGGCTATCGGCCTCCTCCAGACCTTTCCAGAGAGCCTGGTGTGTCTCATCTGCCTGTCCACTCAGTTCACATCTCTCAAGTTCTGACAGTTGTTTTCTGTCCTTAGAAACACATCTTTGCAATATTTGTGCTCCTTTTCCCAAGAAAATGGAAACTGGGCTGATGAAGTTTATTTTTCCCTGGCATTTTTACTGTTTTGGGAGGTAGTTGGATCAAAGAACTCACTAAAGACTAAAACTTTAAAAAACATTAGCCCAGGGCCAGGGATAGAGCTCAGGTCACAAGCACCTGCTGGCAAGCACAAGGTCCTGAGTTCAATTCCCAGTACCAAAAAAAAAAGCATTATCCCAGGCTCCTTAAGGAGAGGTATTATTTAGTCTATCCATTATTTTGGTATATACTCATCAGATACCAGCTAGATGATTTGAATGCAACCCTGTCCACACACCCAGCGGGTACACGGTGTCTGTGTTAGTCACACCCTGACACAATGCCTGACACCCACAACTTAAAGGAGGGGAGGTTTGCTTGGGTTCATATTCCCAGTGCACAGTCTCCAGCGAAGGGTCAGGCAGAGGAGAGCCCTCCAGCCACTTCCCCAGTGACCCACCTCCAACAGGCCCCCCTCCAAGCAGCACGTTTAGCTCCACACCTGCCTGTAGCTCAATCCACTGTTGAGCGCAGTGCCCTCATGTTCTCCTCACTTCCCCGAAGCCCCAGCTCTGCACACTGAGGCCTCTGGAGGACATTCTAGGTCTAACCCATAGTGTTCTATTTGGGTGTGAGATGATATGAGGTAGATAGAGTGGGTGCTTCCACCTCATGGGCCATGTGTTCCTGGCTAGGAACTCAGACCTTATTCTGATACTTTGAAGCAGCTATTGAGGTGATCAGGTAGCAGAAGGTTAGTACAGTATTAGGAACACAGGTAAAACCAGTGAAAGCCACATGACCTGAACCTTGAGGTTGCTGTGGGGCTGCGTAGACACAGTGGGAAAGACGAAGATGACAGAAGCACCAGAGTTCATGATGGACAGAGATGAAGGAGGCCAGGGGGAGTTCAAGCAGTTGGTGTACCTCAGCAAGGTACAAGGAACAAAGGCAGAGAAATGGATATGCCTGTAAAGACTTGGGCACTGAATGAGACTGGCCAGAAGTGGAAACCTTTTCTCCAACCCCAGAACAGCCAAACATGCTCAGTTGAGCTATGTATGGCTCACACTCAACCTTGTTGAAAGTAGAAAGCATTAGAATGAATTGGTGCAAGAGTGAGCGAGTCCTCATCCAGGCTTTCTCCAGCCCCATAGGATTTGGAAAGAACAAGCACAATGCCAGAAATTCAAATCAGAATCATTAATCAGGAGTGCCCGGCAGCTTGATTCACTTTGAGCTGGGGTGCTGGCCCTCTGCCCATCCCCCAGCCTGGAGCAGGTCAGGTTCCTTGCAATGGGGCTGGTGACCCCTGTGCAGTAATCAACCCCTCTTCTGAGGACCACTCAAGCAAGGGGTGTCCCACTTCACCTTTCTCAGGTTGATGAGTAAAGTAAATTAATATTCTAAGAAAAAGACATGTTGAAGAGGAAAAAAGAATACCTTTTAAGTTAGTTATTTTTACTACTAGATTCTTTTTTTTAATTGAAAATTATTTTAATGTTCCTTTGTATTTAAAGGTTAGCATTAAAATAAAACTTTCAATGCAAACTTTTTTTCATAGAGTAATTCAGTTAACTCCTCAACTAGTAACCCCAAGCTGTCTGATACTTCATTTGGTCTGTCTACAATAGGAAACAAATTTTTAAATAGAGAAATCATTTTGTGGCAATGAAGCATTCGTATATTTTAGGAGCAAAATGTTTTCCAGAATGACTTATACCAGTACAGTTCCAGAGACTGCACTGAGCACTGTCGGTGCCTCACAGTGATTATGCTGGCAGGAGCTGGGTCTGCAGAGAGCAAGGCCGGCAGCCCCTGTCTGCGAGCTTGAGATCTCCTGCGTAAGACGGGCAGACACTGCACCCTAAGAACTGCTATGAATCAGTCCTAACTTTTTTTCTGAAAAACTCATTTTCAATCACTTTATCCTTCAGAGTAAATCATGTTCCAAGAAATATCATTCACAAATTGCTAAACAAATTCACTTTTGACATTGCAGGGAAGTGCTGAAACCACACTGTATTAAGGATTCTCGCAGTACATTCATTTCCTCCTAGAAGACGTGATCCCCCATCTAGCACCACACATTGGATTTTACCGTACAGCCACAGGCTGAGGGTTGTTTATAAACACCCCGTGCCTGCTGGGTGAGGTTTGCACAACAGGGAACATCTCCCCAGCCTTCCAGCCTTCTGTAGGGCTGGCTGGAGGTCCTGTGGTACCGACAGTGCTTTCTTGTTTCTGAGAGGTGGCTCCGCTCCTCTGGGTAGGGGTCTGCAGGCTGGAGGGAACAAGCCGCGCATTTGGCTGTGCTGACGCTGTAGGGAGTGAGCCTGCGTCAACAGCCATTTGATTCTGACAGGAAGCTTGCTGTGATGAGACGGGTAATTTCACCTGATTCAATCTAAAACTTCACACCTTTAAACTTTTGTTTCACATAATTGAGGAGTATACTGGAAATCTGTACTCAGGGAAGGTAGTTAGAAAATTTCCCCAGGAATGCTAGTCTTCACTTCATTATTAATTACACAGACATTGACAGTATTTTTTTAATGAGGTATTTTGGGACTTTTTTCTTCCTTGTAGTTAGAATAGGGTTTTAATATATTCCGAATGCACATAAATATGGAGGAGAAATTATCCAGGAGGAAAGTTGAATTTATACAAATGCTAATTAAATGTGGGCATCTTGAAAGGTAAAGCAGATCTTCAGTGATTAAAAGCTACTTCCCCCCAAGACCTTCTAACTGGGAAGAATCTCTCCACATTAGCAAACATTTCCCGTAGTGTTTTCTACCACAAGTAGAAAGGTACAACGGAACACCAGTCTTATCAGTAATTATTACCAATAAATTCCTAACCGATCTCAGCTTTGTCAAAGCCTGTAGAAGTTCCCATTGCAGGGTCCCTGTGTGGGTCACTTGGGAGTCACCTAGCAGGACATGTAACTTCTGCGCTTCAGGGTCCTCCTGGGTGAAGGGGGTGTGCCGTGGCTCTCTCTCTGGAGAAGGAGGTTGTCCCAGTATGAAGGAGCAGGGCTAGGAAGAAACATAGGTTGGAGGTTCCCTTAGTTGCTATAAGCAGCTTGGAAAATGACTTTAGATAATGATCCAGAAATTAGTATTTCTCTTAGGGTCTTAAATTCTTAACTTTGTATACACATATCCCCCCCCCAAAAAAAAAAAAATCAGGCTCCTACAAGTAGTTCCTATTTTTAAAAAGTTGAAGTTGGGATTAGGAGGGTGAACACATGATTCACCAAATCATTTGGGAGAAGACTGCAAATAATAATAGCCCTCTCCAAAACACTGCAGCCAGAAACGCAGCGCTCCCCAAACTTCGTGAGCGAGAAGATCCACATGCAGTACTTGGTTCCTTAGTCCTCCCTCCTCCCAGGAGCCGCACTCACACAGCCGAGCACGTCGGAGCCTCTTACCCTGATCGCGTGGCTAAAAGGACAAGCGCTTACTCTGTACCGTGACTGGGGAGGGACGCGTGGATGGGACAGAAATGCTCACACCTAGTCAGCGTTGCCCACCCTGAGCCGGGGCAGGGGCTGCCCTCCCGGGCCCTGACACTGCCTGTCCTGCTCCTCGCAGAGGGCCTCAGCGGGTCGTGGAAGGAGGCGGGCTGCGTGCCGTCCAGCACGAGCAGCAGCGGCTACTGGAGCTGGAGCGCGCCCAGCGACCAGTCCAACCCGTCCACGCCATCGCCGCCGCTGTCGGCCGACAGCTTCAAGCCCTTCCGCAGCCCCGCACAGCCGGACGACGGCATCGATGAGGCCGAGGCTGGCAACCTGCTCTTCGACGAGCCGATTCCCAGGAAACGGAAGGTGAGTGTGCGCCCGCGCTGCTGCAGGAACAGACGCAACCTGCGTCTCCCCGTAATCATCGTGGAAGTTTCCAAATTGTCTGGATCAGAGGTATAAAATAATTAAAATAACTGACGTACCTTATCTCCCATCACTACACATGTCCCATCCCCAGTTATAAACGATCCATCTTCGCCTTACCAGTGGCACTTCATTTTTTAGTATCTTTAATGTACATCTTCTCATTTCTACTTCAACCAGCTCTGAAAGGTTGTTGCGAAGAGTATTTTGTCTCTTGTTTTTATACAGCCAACTATGAGGTATACCTGAAAGATGACAAGTACACATAAGTATATACTTACATACAGAGAATTAAATATTGCAAAGGAAGAGTGAATTGGTCTCTTTTAAAAGTTCACTGATTACACTTTATTCAGTCCTGACAGCAGTCCTGTAAGGGAAGTGTGTCCCACATTTAACTGGCCCTGCCACCTAAACCCAGATTTTCCTGAACCTCAAGCTTGAGCTATTTCCTTCGTCTTCAGGTAGTTTATTGTCCTCACTTGCAGTTTGTAAAGAGCATTTCTTCCTCCTGTCACAAAACAACGCTACCACTAAATCTAGATGGCAAATTGGCATTTTTAAATCATCACATAAATATGAAATTGTACATAATACATTGGCTCTTAAATTTTGTATTGGTGGCATCACTATTTGTGTCTGTTCACAAATATCCAGAGCAAAGCCCTTGAGGACTGCGGTGCGGCGCAGCCCTTTTCTGCCCTGGTTTGTTTCAGAGAGGCGAAGACGTGGCCTTGGTCCAGCCTCTTCCCTCTTGCAGCTCTGAGCACCGCTCAGCACGTGCCACAGCAGAGGTGCTGCAGGCATCCTTAGGGTTGTTCCTGCAATGGCCAGTGCATTCTTACCTGGACAAAAGGATGTTAGCACAGCCTCCCAGCCAGCCCAAGGCAGCTGAAGAGTTGCTGTTTGCCACCAATCAGTCCATCCTGCAAGACTGGCATTGCCCTGACATCCTGTGGGTCCTGCAGCCCTGGACCTCTCCTGACCAGTCAGGAAGGGCGCTGGCCCTTGATGAGTGCGTGCCTAAAGCAGGCCAGCGCCTTGGACCTGAAGTCTCATCTGCTGCTTCCCGCTGCCTAGCTTCTCTTGGGGCTGTATGAGTGTGTGGCCCTCAGCCTCCTTGTGAGCCTGGCAGCGTGGCAAGGACACACAGCACAGTGAGGCACCAGAGCTTTCAAGGTGGGATCCTGAACCAGTGCTTATAGTTTTTATTGAGGTTGGGTCATATTGGTTCAGACTCATACCGAAGGTCTTCAGGCTACAGGAACGTTAGGGAATTGCTCACCAAAGGAAAAGAAAAAAGCTTGCTGTAAAATGGCCTCAGGTGAAGGGACAGGCTCAGCAAGATGCTGGAGAGTAGGTGTGAATGAATGAGTTAGAGCCCTGCACAGCCTCCTTTCTTCATGACCTGCACATCCCCAGGGTGGCCCTGGTAGGCTGACGCACAGAGCCACCGACTTGTGTCCCACAGGTCTTGTACACATTAAGTTGTTGCTTTGGTTCTTTGAACTTAAAATGCTCTGAATAAGGGAAATAACAAAAAAGTAGGACTGCTGCTACTTTTTTTTTATCAAGTAAGCCAGTACTTCTTGAGCACGTACCAGACAAAACGCTCAATGCCCTGAGAATGAGGAATAGCTGACTTCTGTAAGTGATGAAATTGGGGTGGTAGAGCTTGGTGTGTAAAGCAACTATCCTAATTGTGCAGGGAGTGGGTAGCCTTTCGGACGGGGCAGAACACAGTAACTATAATGCACTTATTTAAGAGATTTAAAATCATGTGCTAAAAGATTTGCAAGAGTTATTGTGCCGCACTAGAGGATATTCTCCAGGTGGTGGAACTTTCTGAGTTCATCTTATTTTCATAGCTATTCCCTTAGATGCGAGGTAGCCATTTCAAACCAGGTTAACTCTAATGGTGGCGTGTCATATGGAGACTGGGAACTTTCTAGATCATGTTCTTCCAAACTGCAAATCTTAATCCACTATTGGATTATGAATCAATTTAATGAACAGCACTATTTGATTAGTAGGACAGAATAGAATGCACTTAAGGGTGAGTATTGTTTCTTGATATTTTCATTTCAGCTGTATATTTATATCAACGTACATTCTCTGAAAAACGTGTTTTTTTCCTTTTTTTTCAAAGCTGATTAATTGGACATTTTCGATAATCAATACATTGTACATTGTTATCTCCTTAGTGGTTATCCATAGTACAAGAAGCAGACAGGATTTCCTGTCCAAACACTATTAGTACACCTATTTCTTCTCATTGAATTAAGTAAAAGTAGCTATATATTTATCCTAACTATTTTGTATATATAAATACAAAGCGACCTTTCCTTTTTGTATATATAAATACAAAGTGATCTTTCCTTTGTATCCCTTTTTTTTTGTCTTGTCAGAGGTGGATATTCTATTGGCATCTAACTACTATAGATGTATTTGAATTCAGCTAAACAATCTAGCACTGTCTAGCATGGAGGCTTACTATGAAAAAGGTTTAGAAGCCTTTTGTTCTAGGAGATAATACAATATATGATAAATTAAGGTGCCCTGATCAGAAATTTTGAGATCCACATTCTAAACTCAACTCTGCTACCCTCCAGACCTGAGAAAATCATGGCATAGCCAGGTGTAGAAGTGGACGCCTGTAAGCACAGTACTGTAGGCAACTGAGGCAGCAGAGTTGCAAGTTTGAGTTCAGCCTGGGCAACTTAGCAACTTTTTTTTTTTTTTGGGGAAACTGGGGTTTGAACTCAGGCCTTTGCACTTGCCAGGCAAGCACTTATTCTAGTGAGCTATCTCCCCAGCCCTTTGGCAAGTTAGTGAGACCCTGTATCCAAATTTTTAGAAGAGAAAAAAACAAAACAAAACAAAAGAGCTGGCAGTGGAGTACAATTTGAAGGTCCTAGTTCAGTGCCCAGTATGGAAAGGAAGAGAAGAGAGGGAGAGGGGAGAGGAGAGGAGAGGACAGGGAGAGGGAGAAGGTGACCTCACCTCTTGACCATCAGCCTCTTCCTGGGCAGAAGAGGCAAGCAGGTGTTCCCACACCTCTCAGGACAATCATGAAGAGTCAGTGTGATCATAGGTACTACACTGTGATGACCTGTTAACAGCTATTTTGGGACTTCTGAACAAAGTAGACAGAGCCTTCTGTGTGTCTGAGTGTGACTCTTGGTTATGGAAGCTGGAGTTATGTCATATGGAGACTGAGAACTTTCCAGATCATGTTTGTCCAAACTGCAAATCTTAATCCACTAAGATTAAGCTAATCTCTTCTCCCTCTCCCCCCAAATGAATACGCGCCACTACATCTTCTAGAGATCTGTGTTCCACTTGTGCAAAGAAGTCAAGAGTGAGCTGTGTCTTGTAAACAAGGCACCCCCTCTAATGTGGATGTGAGGAAGAGCTATTTCCTGATAATCACTGTATTCACATGTATTAGTTGCAGTGTTTGAATGCAGTGTGTCGTTTCATCATCCCAAACCTTTGGATACCTTCGTCCTGTTTTCCAGAGGAGCATCGTTGAAGTTACAGGAATTGTCCAAGGTCGCGCAGCTTGTGGTGTGGCATGAATAACACTGGCTCAGCTCGAATAACAAAGATGAAACTTTAAAAAACAAATTAATTCAAGGAGTCCACGTTTCCTTCTGTCCACAGAGGAGCATACGTGGAGGAGAAATAATCAGACACAGCCGCAGTCAACATTACATGGCAAGCTGGGAGCGGGGTGCAGAAAGCTCAGCTAAGACCTGAGGGTAGAGATTGGGCTGCTGCTTGGGAGCTGAAGTGGAGAGAGCTAAAGCTTTCGCTCCTCCCAGGATAGGCCTGCAGCCTGGGCAGGTGAGAATGCGTGAGGGGCACTGAAAACTGCTCTGTCCTGGCACCACGGTCAGGCAGCCCCGTGTGTCAAGGCCGGCTCTTTTCCAGAGTGATTCCAGAGGACTGACGGCAGCGAGAACTTTGGTGTAGCTCTACTCAGCCTGAGCTAGGAATCTGGACTTGGGGAGGCGCAGTTCCCATCATGACCACTAGGTGATGCAGTGGCCCCAAATATGGCCACTCTGGGCTGCTCAGCGAGAAAACAAATGTTATGGAAGGACAAGAGTTAACTGTGGATTCCACAAGACCCCTAGAACACCAAAAGTGCTGATGAGTAATTACATGTTCTTTTGCATGCCAGATTTCCGATTCTGTTAGATTCCAGGTTCTGTGCACTGTGACATTGGCATGCCAGCTTCAGTATTCATGTGACCTTTAGAAAGGTACCTGACCTCTTGGTCTCAGTTTTGTCACTGTACACTGTGCAGAATCCTGGCATTGTGTCAGTGGGGCTGCTGTGAGCATTAGGAAAGAGGACAAGGGAAGAGCCATAGAAGTCAGCCACTATGACTACATTTGCCTTTCCTGGTGGAGTGGCAGGATCCATCCTGCTCCTGCATTACCCAGAAGATCGAGCCACCTGCAGCCCTGTAAGGTTCATCGAGGAGGACCCCTAACATGCACTGAGTGAGGGCAACAGCCTTGGAGGCAGGAGTTGTGGATACACAAGGACACCTTGCTTGAGACTCTCAGAGTGTTAGCATCACCAGCCTTCCTGGGTCTAACCTACTTCCCAGGTGATGTGACCATGAACAAGTCTACCTGTGTACTGGGGCGAATCTCCAGTTGGAGCAGGACGCACTGGGTTAACACATGGTGCTTTAGTAATAGCTGCACAGTGTTGACAGTGGAGTTATCATCTGCTGCTCTCAACATTTTCAATCTCAGGAAACCAAAAAGCAGGGACTTTGAATTATGAATGACTGCTACAAAAAGAAAGCAAACCCATAAAGCCCTTGTGAGCAAGTATGTTGCCAGTGTTTCCACTGCACTAATTCCTAACCTGCTAATTTTGAGCAAACAGTGCCTCCTTCAAGGGTCGCTGCTCCAGA